GTTAATGTGGTATTCAGTTCTAATATTATTAACAACATATCGTTTACTTCCTTCCCTGTTGTTGACAGTTCCCAGAGAGAGAGAGAGGGAGAGGGAGAGAGAGAGAGAGAGAGAGAGAGAGAGAGAGAGAGAGAGAGAGAGAGAGAGAGAGAGAGAGAGAGAGAAGAGAGAGAGAGAGAGAGAGATAGAAGAGAGAGAGAGAGAGAGAGAAGAGAGAGAGAGAGAGAGAAGAGAGAGAGAGAAGAAAGAGGCAGAGAGAGAGAGAGAGAGAGAAGAGAGAGAGAGAGAGAGAGAGAGAGAGAGAGAGAGAGAGAGAGAGAGAGAGAGAGAGAGAGAGAGAGAGAGAGAGAGAGAGAGAGATAGAAGAGAGAGAGAGAGAGAGAGATAGAAGAGAGAGAGAGAGAGAGAGAAGAGAGAGAGAGAGAGAGAAGAGAGAGAGAGAAGAGAGAGAGAGAGAGAGAGAGAGAGAGAGAGAGAGAGAGAGAGAGAGAGAGAGAGAGAGAGAGTACGAGAACAAGAGAAAGAGAGAGAGAGAGAAAAGCAAACAGAAAAACACAGAAAAAGAAACAAACAAATCTAGACAAGCAGACTGACATCTAAATACCAAATCTGGCTCAATCACCATTAAAAACCAAGCGATTAATAAAAGATGCCCCCTTTTTTATCCGATTTCGTATGGCCTCGCTGCTCTAAAACCAAGGCAAGGAAAGTGTACCTAAGAATTCATGAACACTGAGACTTACTAAACCCTTTTCTCAAAATACATTAGAATCCTTTATGTGAATTTATCTGTCATTGCGGGTAAAGGGAGACCTGGAATATTTGTAGAACTTACTTTTTTTCTTCAATATTACTATCGTTCCGTGATCTGTATTGTACATAATCTTTTCTTTTTGTTTTCTATGCATTTTTTTCTGTTTATTTCTGCTCGTGGATATATATATATACATATATATACATATATATATATATATATATATATATATATATATATATATATATATATATAGATAGATAGATAGATAGATAGATATAGATAGATAGATATAGATATGTGTGTGTGTGTGTGTGTGTGTGTGTTTGTGTGTGTGTCAGGTGTGTGTGTGTGAGTGGGTGAGTGTGTGCGTTCGTATGTATATATAGTATATATACACGCACTCACAAATGTTTTCAAACAAAATCTATTTTGTAACAACTCGCATTATATATTGTAGTGATAATAAGTTTATGAAATGGAAAAGGACGTTGAATAAAAATAGGTTATATTTTACATCGTTTATTTAGAAATATACAACTCGTATGCACATCACTGTACTGTACAACATACACTGTACAGTATGTGGTATAATAATCATCATAATAATTCTCCTGAGACCTTTTCAACAGGATCAGGAATACTAGGAATGCACGGTCATCATTTTAGGCGAATCTATAATATACAAAGTCATCATATGTGATTTAGAAGCGTAAAAAAACACTTTAAACACCTTACTCATTTTAGTGTTCTTCAACGATGACTATACACTCCTTAAACATGAAACTCCATTAATTACACATGTTTCCGATGGTATACTTTTTTTTCAACTGAGTATTTTGTGCAACGCGTTCAGTATCAAACAAAACATCACAATAAACGTGACTATGAACTGATAATATCTACCTAATAATATAGGTATTACAAAAGAAATAATTATAGGTGAGCATTCTAATTCTTTGGAACAAGAATGCGACAGTAAAGACTACTCACTACAACATATATAGATATCTCACAGTTAATAAAAGTACGTTTTGCATCATGCAAGGCAAGATATCTATCAGAGAACTTCTTTTCATAGGATGTAGTATACAGAATGCCCTAAGAGAGTATTATTATATACCATGAAACCGTTTCTGGTGAAAAATACCTATCAGAATATGAGAAATATTTGAGTAAAAAAGAAGAAAAGATAAAGAAAAACTTATACATCTAGCTATGCGTATCATCAACCTTTAAGAAAGATACTTATATATCTAGTTATAACTATGGATACCATAACAGTGGAATTTTGAACATAGGAAATGAGACAGACTTCTTTAGCCAGACAAATGGCTTCTTGAATACACACAAACACACACACACATAAAATCACACACACACACACACACACACACACACACACACACACACACACACACACACACACACACACACACACACACACACACACACACACACACACACACACACACACACATACACACAAGTACACGTATATTTGTGTGTGTAAATACATACATACACACATTCACAAATATGCAAATCATCTCATAACCTAAAGTCGTCACTAAAAACAGGAATAACTCCTATGCTGACTTATACAATATACACAGATACAGTACACAAATACAGCTACAAGTGAAAACGAAGACATAAAAAACAAATAGAGAGTCACAGCCATAACGGGCGATTTCTTGAAGGATTTCCCGTCATTTACCTGAGCAGAGTCATCACAGGGAGGATAAAAGCAAGAATTGAGGGCCATGGACGGAGGGGTTGTGACTAGTAAAGCGAAAAACTGTTCTTATGATGTTCGTGGGTCGCCATGGGTCGCTGCCGTCGTCGTAGTACAGAGGACACTGGTCGTCTGTTGGGAGAGAAAACGGGGTGTTGAGGCCATGAGAGAAAATGGATTGTTGGATGGGTGACTAGAAAGAAAACGGGGTGTTGAGTCCATGAGAGAAAATGGATAGTTGGATAGGTAACTAGAAAGAAAACGAGGGGTGAGTCCATGACAGAAAACTGGAGTTGAATCTATGAGAGAAAACGGGAGTTGAGTCCATGTGAAAAAACGGATAATTTGAGTGGATGACTAGTGTAAATTGGAGTAAGGGAGACTTCAAAAGGATGTGTTTGTGGTTGTGTGTGGATGCATGAAGCGTAAAAGTCTCAACGTATCTGAAGAAATAAGTAGTAAAATAAGAAACCAAACAAATGAAACATCATATAAAACGATTGCAAACTCGATAACGCGCAGAGACCCATCTACCCCCCCCCTATTCATAAATCACAAAAAATCTATTCTATTCCTTACACAATCGTTCTTCGAAGGTGAGGTTGAGTGCAACAGCCGCGCTCTCCTCGTAAGTCGACGAGAGAAAAGTCTGGTTGAGTCCACACGCGGCGCCGACGGACTGTGACAGGCGCAGTTGCGTTTCGCCGATGCGTAGGTAGACCTTCAAAGGGGAAAGGAGGTTTATATTAGTCTTGGAATTATATGTTTGTTGTGTTTTTGTTTCAGTTTTTGTGTTCTGTTTGGTGGATATCTTTTATGTAGGTTCTGGTTGATATTGTGAATGGTTTGGTAGTAAAATAATGTTGGACACACACATACACACACACAAACATGCACGAACACACACATATGTACATGCACACACACACACACACACACACACACACACACACACACACACACACACACACACACACAGGAACACATACCCACACACACACACACACACATCTACATGCAAGGTAAGCCAATATCAGGTCCACACACCTTAAATCCCATTCAATCTCACATACTCAAAAAAAAAAAAATGTTGCATTCACCCTTCAACATCTACTAATCAACTTTGACCTTTGACCTCGGATAACTTACCCAGCACCTGAACCTCGAAGCGGAGTCAGAAGGGTCATAGGTCACCAGATAAGACAGTAAGTTTTCCTTCCAGTAACCTACACACTGGAGTCGGTAGTCACTTACGCCTGTAAGTAAATGTTGGATTAGGAATATTCAAAGAAGTTGTGATAAATATATAGGAAGAGTGAGGGAGAGGGAGAAGGAGAGAGGAAGAGAAGGAGAGAGGAGGGAAGAGGGAGAAGGAGGGAAGAGAGAGGGGGGGGAAAGAGGGATAGAGAGAGAGGGAGAAGGAGAGAGGAAGGGAAGAAGAAGAAGGGAAGAGGGAGAAGGAGGGAAGAGAGAGAGGGGGAAAGAGGGATAGAGGGAGAGGGAGAAGGAGAGAGGAAGGGAAGAAGGAGGGAAGAGGGAGAAGGAGGGAAGAGGGAGAAGGAGGGAAGAGGGAGATGGAAAGAAGAGAAGAGGGTTAGGGAGAGGGAGAAGGAGAAACAGAGACAGAAAGAGAGAGCAACGCAGACAGAAGCAGAGAAAGAGAGAACGTACACAAAACCAAAATACAACCCCCATCCCCCCTCCCACCTCCCCCATAACTCATCCACACCCCCGCCCCCACAACCCCCCCCCCCCCCTTCTCAACCACCCACCCACCCCATAACTCACCCCCCACCCCCCCACCCCCACCCTCCCTCCCTCCTTCTCAACCACCCACCCACCCCATAACTCACCCCCTACCCCACCCCCCCCTCCCTCCTTTTCAACCACCCCACCCCCACCCCATAAAAGAAACACACCAGAACCCCAAAACTCACTATTAAAATCAACAGGGTGACCATCCTTATTGAGCGTAATACATCGATCCGTATCAATCACGATCCACTTCCTCTCCTCGTCACACACTGCCATTTCGGTGATCTTCCTGTGGCAACGGTAAGTATCCAGGGGGGAGGAGGTGACCCCCCCGAGGATCCGGGGCTCGAAGGGAGAAGGACCTCGCTGGCCGAAGGAGAAGCGGCCGCTGAAGGGGCACGGGATGGGGTCTGGAGCGTCGGCTGTGGGGGGGGGGGAGGTTAGTTTTTGGGATTATTAGTAGTAATGTTGTTATTGTTATTGGTATTTTTGTCATTATTATTATTATTATTATTATCATTTTTATTATTATTATTATTATTATTATTATTATTATTATTATTATTACTATTGTTAACACTATTATTATTGTTGTTGTTGTTGTTTTTATCATTATTATTATTATTATTATTATTATTATTATCATTATTATTATCAACATCATTATTAGCATTAATGTTATTTTTATCAATCTTACCATTACCATTATTATTATCATTATCAATATTTTCATTTTCATCATCGTCATTATTATTATCATTATTATTATTGTTGTTGTTATCATCATTATCAATATTAAGATGATGATGAAGATAAAACCCTTTATTACTGTATCACCGCATTACCTTTAATTAAACATTGAATAATCGCTCACTGTTATATCATAAGCATCTCTTTTATTTGAGAGAGCAATGCTAAATCTTCATTGGCAATAAGTGAATGTCTTATGTATCTAATATGCACTCGTCAAAAGAAAGATTTTAATCAAAGTGAGAAATGAAGCGCGTAGAATAGCTTGCCCTCAAGCTTTGGAAAAAAACATCACTTGTCGCTCTTAATAATGAATACATACATATATGTATATATATATATATATATATATATATATATATATATATATATATATATATATATATATATACATATATATATATATATATATATATATATATATATATATATATATATATATATATATATATATATATATATCATCATGTTATCATAATTACTTGTATTATTGTTTTTTTTTATTATTATTATCACTTATATTGTCTTTTATTTTCATTATTTGTATTGTTTCTATTATTGCTTTTATTTTGATTATTATTATCATTATTATTATTGTTATTATTATTATTATTATTATCATTATTATTATTGTTATTGTTATTATTATTATTATCCTTATTATTATTATTATTATTATTACTATCATCATCATCATAATTGATTATCATTATCATCATCATAATAATCATCATCATTCCCAAGATCATCAACCAACTAACGACCACCTACCAATCAGCGTGTCATACTTCCACTCCCGGCCACTTCGGAAATTTGCATAATCACACACTTGGAAATCCGAATAGATAACAGCCCAGCTTCTCCTGTACCGGACAATGTTATGATGGCGAGGCACTAATTCCCAACACACGTACTCCGTTTGGCTGCGTAAAGTAAAGTAAAGGACGGGGGAGTGTTATTAGTGAGGGGAGTGTTGTTATTAGTTCAGTGTTTTTAATGAAGAGAGTGGAGTTAACTAAGGGAGTGTTTTTAATTAAGTGTTATTAACTGAGGGAGTGTTGTTAATTAAGAAAGTGTTATTAATTAAGTGTTTTAATGAAAAGAGTGGAATTAGTTAAGGGAGTGTTATTAGTTAAGTGTTATTAATGAAGAGAGTGGAATTAACTAAGGGAGTGTTATTAGTTAATGTCTACAAGGAATGCATGTAGTGGGGTGATGAGGAGGTTTGGAATATATATGTTTTTTTTTTTTTAATAGAGGTATTTGGGTCTGTATATATTTTTGTTTTTTAGTGGGGTATGTTCTCATATATTTGTGGAAATACAAGTACATGTAAGCAAACTGACATACAGACATACATTAAACCACACATAGAGACCTGAAGATGGAATTCAGGTGGATTTCGAAACTGTCTCAGTTTTGATAATCTAGTTTTTGCATTGTGGATTTTACCATTCGACATGCAGAAAGGTACAAATACACAAACACGAATGTACAAAGACAATGAACACACACACAGTACCAATACTACTACTATTGCTACTATTAATAGTGATAACATTGACAATTATTATAAGAATAAAGAGTAACGTTGTTATCAAACACAGCAATGAGATTTCTTGTCTTTTTTTCTGAATATAACTGTGTTTCATCAAAAACATGCACATTTACTCACTCAACCACTCACTCACTCACTTATTCCCTCCCCCCCCACACACACTTCCCCCCCTCTCACCCCCCCCCCCCCTTCTCACGCACACACACACTTACCACCCCTCGACGCTTAGCTTTGCCATGAGATAACGATTTCCCCTTTGCTGCAGACACACGTAATGCGCCGTCTTCATGCTATAACCCCTCCACGTGGACTCCGAAATGTGTGTGGAGTTGATGGTCACTTCTGGTTCGCCCGAGCCTGTTGAGATCCACTTTCCTGTCACGTTTCGAGGCAGATGACAGCCCGGAGTCACGTCCTCGTGCTTGGCTGTCGGTGGAGGGGGAGGGGTGTTAATTGGTGTGGGTATTTTTTGGGTGTATGTGGGTGTTTGTGGGCATTCGTGGCTGCTTTGTGGGTGTTTGTGGGCGTCTGTGGATATTTGTGGGTGTTTGTGGGTATTTGCGAGGTGTTTGTGGATAATTGTGGGTAATTCTTCGGGTATTTGTGAGTATTCGTGGGTAGTTTTCGGTGTTTGTGGATATAGTCGTGACTACTACTACTACTACTACTACTAACAATAATAATAGTAATAATTACAAAAATGACAATAACACTAAAACAAAGCAACAAAAAAAAAACAATAAATCAAACAAACGGACAACCAACTAAACCAAACGAAACGAAACAAAAAAACAACTGAATCACCAGTAAACAGTAAACAATCCAAACCACCAACTCCTACCATAGGAAAGTCTGAATCGAACGGGACTGTTTTCCGGCGTCTTCAGCACAGAGCACTCCGGAGTAAGGGAGTGTCCGAGGTAAAGGTCGTCCTCGCGGTTCCTGACGAAGCACCTGTATTTCTCCTCCTTCCGGGACTCCTTCGTGTTGACGACGGCGAAGTAGTGGTTCTTCCCGACGTACCAGTTTCCGAGGCACGAGAATTCGACTCCTGGGTTGGTTGCGGGGTAAACGGTGATGGTGAGGTAAGTTGGGTTGAGTTGGGTTGGATTGGGTTAGATTGGTTGGGTTGAGTTAAGTAAGTTAGGTTAGGTTAGGTTAGGTTAGGTTAGGTTAGGTTAGGTTAGGTTAGGTTAGGTTAGGTTAGGTTAGGTTAGGTTAGGTTAGGTTAGGTTAGGTTAGGTTAGGTTAGGTTAGGTTAGGTTAGGTTATATTATGATATATGTTATGTCATACTATGTTATGTTATGTTAAGTTAGTTGTGTTGAGTTGGGGAGTTGGTTAATGTTGTAATAGGGAAAATGGGTATTTCGTGAGGGTAAGTCATTTCAAAATGGGAAAGGGTTGGTGCCTTCCTAGTAAATTTTATTTTCAGTGTTCAATTCTGGTGTTTATTATATCTCCTGCGTTTTAAAGTTAATTCTCGTTTATATATATTTTTCAGACAGCGATAGTGAACTCTAATAACCGTAAGACTAGTTTATCTATAACTGAATGTAGCTATCAGGAAAATTCTGAAGCTATTGTCCCAGCTTTCATGAAATTATTTACGGTTTCATCATCAAATATTAGATAGAAAGCTTAAGCAGATATTCCATGTTTACTACTGTTCTCCTTGTCAAATCTACATACTATGATAACACAAAACATCAAAAAAAGACCTTCATACCCATAGAAATCTTTAAAAATACCTATTCATCATTCCAAGCAAAGACAAAAAAAAACAAAAAAACACACAAACACATACAAAAAATAATAATGCAATTCACTTACGTCCATCAAAAGATTCCCCAATACCCGGGCACTTCTTGTAGTTAATGGCAAACTTCTGGTTGGAGATGAGGAACTGGGAGCCCGGTTCCTGACACGAGCGAAGGAGGGCCCCAGGATGGTTGCATTCCCCTGTGAAACTGGAATGAAGGAGGAGAGAGTCTTAGACGTTTGAGTAACTTTAATGGGATGAAATAAGGGGCATTTTTGATGTTAGTTTTACTGTTTATATTATTATTATTATTATTTTTGGTCTTCACTTTAAGGTTCGGTATATTAATTCATTTGTGTTTATTTATATCCACTTGTCTATTTATTTTGAGATATAGTCAGAAAACAAATTGGTTGTACATATTTGTAAACACTTTCCACCGTATATCGGATTTAAATACAAAAATAATGGAGACTATTTGCACTTAAAGTAGTCGATATAACATGAAACAAAACACACACAAAAAAATAAATAAATAAATAAAAAAAACATTAATATCCATGACTCTCAAGCAAAAATTGGTCAAGTCCTATACAAACAATTCCTCAGTTTAGACACATTTTCCATTTAAAAAAGGCTCCGGAGTCTAGTAAATGGTGGGTTACTTTTTTTCTTCTTGTTTATGGCACCCAGAAGCTTGTGGTGCGGCTATAGTACGGAAAAAACCTGCAAGAGACGAGCGAAGCTTTCGTAGGTAGACTTGTATCTATATCTTGCTATCTATTTATCTATCTATCTATATATATATAAGTATATGCATGTATAGTGCAAACACACACACACACACACACACACACACACACACACACACACACACACACACACACACACACACACACACACACCACACACACACACACACACACACACACACCACACACACACACACCACACACACACACACACACAAACACACACACACACGCGCGCCCACACACACACACACACACGCAAACACACACACACACACAGACACAAACACACACACACACACACACATACACACACACACACACACACACACACACACACACACACACACACACACACGTACACACACACACACCTGACTACTCTTTCTTAACCCGTACTTAAGGAACCCAACCTGGCACAGACGATCCGTATATGTGAGCAAGGTACAGTACTTTCACTATAGGTTAAATTTTGAAGTTCATAGTAAAGTTGTTTTATTTTTAAATTATTGATTAAGACCAGAACGCAACGGGGGGTAATTGATATGTTAGAGAGGAGGGGGAGGGAGAAGAGAAGAGAAGAGAAGGGAAAGGAAGGGAAGAGAAGAAAAGAGAAGAGAAGAGAAGAGAAGAGAATTGAATTGAAGATAAGAGAAGAGAAGAGAATTAAAGATAAGGGAAGAGGAGAGAAAGACGAAGATATACGAAATCCATATATTTCGAAATAAAACGGAAATATTAGGGAAACCTGTTTCCCTGCTAAAAAAAAGGACAGTTTAACCGACTAAAATTCGTATACGACACATCCATAGAGTATGAACGACATCCTAACGGTCACTTTTGCCATTGGCCGTTCTGGGGGTATGGCCAGGTACCTGTCTCGCTCTCTCTCGCTTTCGCTCTGTCTCTATCTGTCTGTCTCTCGTTCTCT